TAAAATTAATGCATAAGGTTAGTTTGTAGTGATTGTTCTTAGTTATCAGATATTTTGACTTGTACAGTTAGTTTTAGAGTTTAGGACCAAAATTATCATTTTTCGTATACATTAATACCTATTTCCATCAAGGGGTATATAACAAGATTCTCTTAAATTGGTGAAGATTTTTATATTAAGTTGATCTAGTAAAATTTTTATTAAGTTGTCTTATAGTAGACAGATAAAAAGGAAAAGGCAAAATACCTTAAAATTCTCTTAAACTTGATACGAATTATTAATTATAGCCTTATATTATTCGTGGTCTTAATTACCCCCCTCAACTTAGCCTTTTGAGAGCCACTACCCCGGTGGACGTTAATGTGGCAAAGAGTATGGGTGTACTCGCCTACCACACGAATTTTTCTATATACGTGGCATTTTTTTTGAAAAATAAAATATATTTTTACCTTTTTAAGTATGTTAATTTTTTAGATAATTTTTTCGAATACAATTTATAATAAAACTTAGATAGAACTACATTATTTAGTTTTATTTAGCAAAAAATAAAAAAGTTTTAGTTAATTGTTTTTTGAATTTGACCTGAAAATAAAGATTTATACAATTAAAATAAATAGTCAACGCATCTAAAAAGTTATAAAAAATATGTAGTTTGAAATAAATTATTTTTTATAACTTTTAGATTAGATGCCTTGACTATTAATTTCAATTGTATAAATCTTTATTTTCAGGTCAAATTCAAAAAAAAAGATTAACTAAAACTTTATTATTTTTAGCCAAATAAAAAAATTTAGCCTAAATAATGTAGTCATATCCAAGTTTTATTAAAAATTATATTCGAAAAAAATTATCTAAAAAAGTAACATTCTTAAAAAGGTAAAAATATATTTTATTTTTAAAAAAAATGCCATATATACAGAAAAATCCACGTGGCAGGCGAGTGCACCCACTTTTTGCTACATCATCGTCCAGGGGGGTAATGACTCTCAAAAAGCCAAATTGAGAGGGTAATTAAGACCACGAATAGTTTAAGATTGTAACTAATAACCCGTGTCAAATTTAGGGGGGGTTTTAAGATATTTTGCCAAAGGAAAAAGACTGACCTGCCTTACTTATGTTTCTCATGTTACAAGTCACATATCAATTGAACATATTCTACTCTTTTTAGAAAATCTCTGTATTCATTTCTTACCCAACTTCTGATAGAAATGTTACTTTCTTAAAATATTTATTAATGACAACATTGTATGGGTAATTGTACATAATATTGTGCGATCTTAATATTTTATCTTCTATTAATTCAAATATATATGGTATAACTAGTTGTATTTGAGCTATGGGAATATTAATTTGGTCATCTAAATAAAGTTATTTAGAACGATGTATACTGAGGCATTAGCTACTCTTATGGTGCAATGAGGTCTTCATTCTATTTTTATGAAAACTAATTAATGTAAATAAATTACAACATTGATGTGATGTGGTAAAAAAAAACGTGATATAAGACATTTATATTCTTCTGAATCTAATGGTGTAGTGACGTTTGACTATCATTTCATATTTTTAGTGCATTACTTACCTTACATTATAAGTGCTTTAATGTTAAACTATATTATATTTGTACTTAATTGAGTTTATTTTATCCGTAAATACATTAAAGACGAAATTGAAAGCAAAGTGTGTATTTTATACACTACAAGAATGGTTCATGAGTATTTATCTATTGGACAATGATTTAAGGTTAGTATTATAAAAATAAAAAAAGAGACAAAAGAATGAATTGTAAGAAACAAGGCAAAGGATTTTGAAGAGTAAAACAAAGAAAATAAGCAACGAAGCAAATCAAGACAAAGCAACAGAGTGCAAAAATGAAGCAGCAGGCGAGGCAGGGACGTTGCTCGCTAAAAAACAGGCGATGCGAGAGATTTAGCTCGCGTTTGGCAGTGCGCCGCGAGGCTTACCGCGAGGAGGAGCTCGCTACAGAGACTGTGAGGCACGATCTGTAGCGAGGTGGAGCGCGCTATAGAGCTCGCAAGGCACGGTCTGTAGCGAACGTGTTTCGGGTTTTTAAAGCCTATTTTGTCTCTTATTTGGTTTTGGATTTGGTTATTTCGTTTGGGTCTCTTCCCTACACATATAAATAGTCATTAAACACTATTTTTAGAGGAGTTTTGCAACGGGAGGCAAGAATATCACGTAAAACAACTTTTGGAGGAGAAAATCATAGAGTTCTTCATTCCTTTATCTTTTCTTTGTAACTTGTTTATGCAAAATACTTAAAAAATTGTACTACGAACATGAGTGGCTAAGCACCCTAGTTCTAGGGTTGTGGTTGACATGATTATTAACTTTTATTAATTACATCTTCATCAATTCGGATTATCATCCTGTGGTTGTTTCTTTAATTCTAGCTTTAATTTGTGAATTGTTGTAGCTACCAATTTACCCTACTATCTATGTTATGCTTGGAAAAGTGGTGTTTAGATTAGAGTAAAATTAAAGAGAGTTTTTTTTCTGAATCCGTGGCTCGGGAAATGATTTCGCGGTTAGGATAGGAATGTACCTAACAGTCTTGCTTAGTTTAATATCGTATTATATTCGTTCATGATAAACTCAATACCATAGGAATATAGGTTTGATATATTGTGGGCAGACGAGTAGTATTGTGGGAACATGCTATTCATATAAAACGATCCGGTTAATTCGCAACCATAGATTATCTGGATTAAAAAGTGTGATTATTAAACTTAATAGAATTGATAAACCAACCACAACCCTGGAATTTTCATCTCCTCTGAATTAAAATCTCATCATATACATTCGCATTCTTGATAATTTAGTTGTTATTTGTTTAATTTCCGCAATAGTAGATTAATAGAAAAATGTCACTCTTAAATATTTTGGACAAGTAAATTGATTTTAGTTTGCTTAGCTAACGATTGATCTAAGTCTCTGTGAGTTTGACATCCGATTTTTGAGTCACTTTATTACTTGTCGACTATGTAAACTTGCGTGTACTTGGGGAATATTTGCCTACCAGTGCTAATATTATCCGTAGTCACCCCTTTTGAGCCTATAGACTTTTTCTTTTGCAACCACATTACAAGTCGAATCCTCTTTGTTCTCAATCAATTTTGTTGAACCTTTACCTCCAAAAGCATTTAAGTAGTTAGAAGAGTAAAGAAAGAGATTGAGTAGCTCTTAGGTGGAACCATAGATAGGCCGACAATGTGCACTTGTGTACAAACAAAAATGGTACTAGACAAAAATACCCAATTAAGGAGAGTGAATAAAAAAAGAAGAATAACACCTTCATATCTTTGTTTGGGCTAGTAATATCTATATGTTTATGTGCTTAATGAAGAAGGCTTTAAATGTCTATGGTTTCATGGCAAGACATTAAAGTGGTCATGGCAAGAAAGTGATTAGAAGCAAAGTGTAGTGTATTAAAGTTCTTAGAAAGGTTAGTCACTACTTTCTCAAATATATCATATTTGTCTCTTATCCTACATTACAACTTATAAGTTGTAATAACCCGACCGTTCGTTTCATGAGTTACCGCTCCGTTTCTCCCATTTCTGCTTCTTTATGTCTTGTTCAGCTGTATTATGTGGTATCAGGTTGGTTGGTTTGGGTTCAGAGTGATTTTGTAGAAGAATGAGACACTTAGTCTCTTTTGAATAAGCTTAAGTTGGAAAAGTCAACCGGATATTGACTTATAGGTAGAAGGTCTCGGATATGAATTCTGTTGGTTCGGATAGCTTTATTAGGTGATTTGGGACTTAGGAGCGTGGTCGGAATATATTTTGGTGGTCCATGGAAGATTTAGGCTTGAATTGGCGAAATTGAAAATTTGACATTTTCCGATCGGCAGTGAAAATTTTGATATCGGAGTCGGAATGAAATTTCGAAAATTAGAGTAGGTCCGTTGTGTCATTTGGGACATGTGTGTAAAATTTCAGGTCATTCGGAAAAGGTTTGATAGACTTTTTGATCGATTGCGGGATTCGGAAGTTTTGGAATCCTTAGGCTTGAATCTGAGGATGATTTGATGTTTTGACATTGTTTTGAGTGTTCCGAAGGTTGGAACAAGTTTGAATGATGTTATGGAATATGTTGGCATATTTGGTTGAGATCTCGAGGGCCTCAGGTGAGTTTCGAGTGGTTAACGGACCAATTCTTGGTTTTGAAGAGTTGCAGATTTTGCTGGTTTTTGTTGCAGAAGAATTTGTTCTTTGCATTCGCGAAGATTGTCCCGCGTTCATGAGGAAGAGCTGGGTCTAGGGGAGAAAATGTTCTTCGCGTTCGTGAGTCGCGTAGATTTGGATTCCAGTGAATCGCGAACGCGTGAGAGGAGTCACGTTCGCGCAGGGTAAATTGGAGCAGCTGGGACCCCAGGAGTTTGTGCATCGCGTTCGCGTAGGTAGGATCGCGTTCGTGAAGGCTTGGGCAGCTGAAGCTTCGCGTTCGTGTGAAGGAAGTCGCATTTGTGAGCATGTGATTTTTGCTCTATCAGAATTACTCCTACAAATTTAAAGAAAATAGATTTTTCCAAATTGTTTTCAATTTTATAGGATTTTTATTAATTGTTTGCATTTTTTGTGCACGTATAATTTTTATTAAAATCATGAAAAAATGCCCCAAAAATGTCAAAATTTCATGCATTGCGTATTAGGTTTTGTGTTCATATTTTAGGATTAATTGGTTAAGTAATTGCTTTATTAAAATGAAAAATCACAAAAAATATTGTCCAGTTTACATTTTTTGGATCTTAATATTAGATTAGTAATTTTCTCTTCACCAATTTATGATTAATTAATTTTGTAAAAATTATAAATAGATAATTCGTTTGATTTTACAGATTAGATCAATTTATAATTTAATTTAGGATTTTAATTAATTAAAGAAAAAAAGAAAAAAACAAAGAAAAGGAATAATCCCTTCCCCTTTTATTTTTATAGAGACATTAGAAAAACTAGGGAACAATAATCAGAAGACCTCACCCTTAGAAAAAGAGCAACAACGCATCTGGGTATTTCAGGACTTTTCCATTTTCATCATCACCAAGAACATACCCCCCCTTTTTCCTAATATAGATACACGCCTCACTCTCTATAAAGATATCAGAAATACGCACTCACACAGACAATGCTCATTAATTCTCTCACAGTTCCTTAGCTGGATATTTTCTGGAAACTTCGAAGTTTAATTGAGCTGTAAGAGTCTCATTTGCTGGTAGATTTTGTTGTTCTGTGCGTAGCTGAACCCCAATTTGCTGAATTTATTCCTTACTTGGCTATTATAAGTTGCACTACTGCTGTTAAGGTATGTGCTTTTGGTCTCAATTGATGTAATTGCTATTTGGATGTCCTATTGATATGAAATCTCAATTGCTGTTCATTGACATGTGTACTGAGTGCTCTTTCATTTCTGACTGCAAGCTTGGGTTTGGTTTTAAAGTTCAATGTGGTGAATATCTAAAACCATACTGAAAATTTGAGTAATAATAAGAAACAATCATGAAAAGGCAATTCTATGGTTTGAACGAGCAGTATGTATTTGTTAAGGTTTAGATTATTTGTTAACTTATAATGGATTTCTTATATATATGGAGGTGGTCTAGCAGATCTATGGCTCGGAGGTGAAATACCATCATTGTTGGTATGGAATTTAGAATTTTTTAGTGCCTAGCTCAATTAAAACTTCATAGGCATTGAAAGTAGTCATTTGTGTACTAATTAATTCAAATTTTAGTTTAGTATTTACTCTAAAACTTGAAGCTCTTTTATTTTTATTTTTACTTTGTTTTTTTGGTTGTTGTAAATTTTGCTAAAAATAAGGAACTCTTATAAGAACATAGATGATAAAGTTAACAGAATACATCATTCCAAAGTAGAAGTTCATTCTTAACATTTCTTTCTCATTGTCCATGAAAGTTGTAGTCAGTGATGATAAGTTTGCTTCATCCAACAAAAGTAGATTACAGTCACTTCAGATCGTAACACCTTTACCTTGGCCGAGGAAAAGAGACCAATTTATCTGAGTCTATCAAAACAGAATGCCTTTATCTTGATTGCTTTGGTTTCGGATAATGTAACTGAACATTTTTCTTGCCAATCCATCTCATAACCATAGTGACAGAACTTATGAGAAGCTCAAATCACCGACTTAGAAGTAGATAATTATGAACATCGTAGCTTGCTTTAGGCGCAATTAATTTTAAATCATCGTGTGATGACCCAAAAGTTCATCACTTATTTTAAAAATAAATTTTGCATTCAGAGGCCTTAAAAACCTCTTTCTATCTCACCTCGATTTGCGTGCGTAGTCTGGGTGCGTAGCCGAAAAGCCATTATCTGAAAATCTGTGAAAAATGATGAATTTTGCCTAATAAATGAGTTTAAGTTGACTTCGATCAATATTTTGGGTAAACGGATTCGGACCCGTGATTTGACGGTCCCGGAGGGTCCGTAGGAAAATATGGGACTTGGGTGTATGCCCAGAATCGAATTTTGAGGTGCCAAGCCCGAGAAATGAATTTTTGAAGAAAATTATTTTCTGGAATATTTATGAGTTTTTGAAAGTGAAATGTGTTTAAAGTTTGATGTTATCAGGCTCGTATTTTTGTTCTAGAGCCCGGTACAAGTCTTATATATGATTTGAGTCGAACCTGTGAAATTTGGTAGGAAACGGACTTGAAATGATATGAATCAGACCTTATTTGACGAAATTGGGAAATTTGATGTTCTTACAAAATTTCATAATTTTGATGCTAAATTCAGAGTTGTTGATGTTATTTTTATGATTTGAATACACGGGCGAGTCCGTATGATATTTTTAGATTGGTGTGCATGATTGGTTTGGAGCCCCGAGGGCTCGGGTGAGTTTTGGATAGGCCGTGAGGGTGAATTTTGGACTTGGAGAGTTGCAGATTTCAACTGTTGCATTGCATGCCTGCAAGATTCGCATTTGCGAAGCCTGGCTCATAAATGCGAAGGCTATGTCGCAAATGCGAAAATAGCCCAGACCAGCCTTCCTTGCAATTGCGGGGAATTTATCGCAAATGCGATGTTTCCCCCTTTTGGTCAGTCGTCGCAAATGCGACATGTGGTTCGCAAAAGTGACTTCGCAAATGCGAAGGTCGCCTCGCAAATGTGAGCTTAGCAGAAGTCTGGGTTCTCAATTGCAAAGCCTAGTCGCAATTGCGACATCTGCAACCTGTAATTTTATAACTTAGCCGAAAATCTTTCATTTTTCACACTCTTTCAAAACCAAAACATTCTTGGGCGATTTTTCAATGACAACTCTTCTTCCAAATCGATTGTAAGTCAATTTTAACTCGTTTTCTTCAACCATTAACATCTTTTCACATGATTTCAATTCAAAATCAATGATTTTCATGGGGGAAATTGGGTGTTTTGGGTAGAACCTAAGTTTTTTCAAAAATGGGGGATTTGGACCTCGATTTGAGGTTCGATTTCAAAACAAATTATATATTTGAGTTCGTGGGGGAATGGGTAATCGGGTTTTGGTTCGAACATCGGATTTTGACCATGTGGGACCAGGGGAAATTTTTGACTTTTTGGGAAAACATTTAGAAAACTTATTTCCATGCATTAGAAATGATTCATTTAGTACTTATTAATATTATTAAGTAACTTGTGGCTAGATACAAGCGAGTTGGTGGTGGAATCAAGAGGTAAAGTGATAGTTGAGGATTGAATTGTGTTCATGGCATCGAGGTAAGTGTTTGGTGTAACCTTAGCTTGAGGGATTAGGAGTCGTGTCTTATTTGCTACGTGTTAATAGCGGAGTACGATGTATAGGCATGGTGACGAGTATCTATATGTCAGTGTCAAGTATGCCCGTGAGTCTTGTATTGTAATTGTTATGACTCCGTTGTGGTTTATTGCGCTTCACATGTTATTATCATTATTGTTCCCTTGCCGGGATGTTATTATCATTATTGTTCCCATCCCGGGACATTATTATCATTAATTTCCCTTGCCAGGATGTTATTGTCATATTATTGTTCCCTTGCTGGGATGTTTGTTTTGATATTATTATTCCCTTGCCGGGACCCTTTTATGATTGGTGTTGATAAAAGAAATGGGAGAGGGTTGCACGCCTGCAACAAGATATATGAAATGAGAGCGGGTTGCACGTCCGCAACAAGATATGTGAAATGGGAGCGGGTTGCACGCCTGCAACAAGATATGTAAAATGGGAGCGGGTTGCATGCCTACAACAAGATATGTGAAATGGGAGCGGGTTGCACGCCTGCAACAAGATATGTAAAATGGGAGCGGGTTGCATGCCTACAACAAGATATGTGAAATGGGAGCGGGTTGCACGCCTGCAACAAGATATATGAAATAGAAGTGGGTTGCACGCCTGCAATGTGATATATGAAATGGGAACGGGTTACACACTTGCAACGAGACACACGAAATGGGATCGGATTATACGCCTGCAATAAGATGTGAAATGAAAGTGAATTCTGCATTTGTTTTCCTTATCCTTGTTAGTAATTGGATTTTGGTTTCGTTATATTCTCTTGATATTCTGTTGTTATTTGTTATTCCCCGAAGTTACCCAATTTTAACTGTAATTATCTACTTCTATTTCCGCTGTATATGATATAACTGCACAAGTTTATTTGGTAGTATGGTCCTAGCCTCGTCACTACTTTGCCGAGGTTAGTCTAGACATTTACCAACATATGGGGTCGGTTGTGCTGATACTACACTCTACACTATGTGCAGGTACTAATATCGGAGCGCTTGGACCGCAGTGAGGGTGCTGTTTTCAGTCCACAAAGGCGACCTGAGGTAGTCCTGTAGACGTTTGCGGGCCTTGGCGTTACCTCCCATATTTCCTTTATCCTGTTTCCTTTACTTATTTTAGAAATAGTGTATCTTTTATCTTTCAGACTTTGTATGTAGTATTCTTAGATCGTCTGTGAAATTGTGACACCAGTTCTGGGTGGTCGAGGCTCAAACAGTTATATTCGATACATATTTCAAATAGTTTACTACATTTCTTCCGCTTATTGTAATTTTCGATGTCTACACGTTATTGCTTTATAATTGTTAAAGAGTATAAAATGGGTAAAAAGGTAATTTGTTCAAACAATCGGCTTGCCTAGCTCACATTAGTAGGCGCCATTACGACTCCCGAGGGAGGAAAATTCGGGTCGTGGCAAGTTGGTATCAGAGCTCTAGGTTACATGGGTCTCACAGTTCACATACAAGCTTAGTAGAGTCTGAGGGATCGGTATAGAGACGTCTGTATTTATCCCCCAGAGGCTACAGAGTTAGGAAAAACTTCACATTTATTCCTTCTTGTCGTGCGGTTTGGTTTATCAATGCTAATTGAATTTCTACTCTGTTCTTTCGCAGATGGCGAGAACACGCGCTTCCTCATCCACTGGCCAGCAACCCTGTGACGACCTGGCCAGTCTTCTCATGAGTTACCGCTCCGTTTTTCCCCATTTTTGCTTATTTATGCTTTGTTTATCCGTGTTATGTGGTATCGCGTTGGTCGGATCGAATCCGGAATGGTTTGGATAAGGTTGAGACATTTAGTCTCTAAAAGTAGCTTTAGAGTTAGAAAAGTCAACTGAGAGTTGACTTATTGGTAAACGACCTCAGAATGCGGATTTTATGGTTCGGATAGCTTCGTTAGGTGATTTGGGAGTTAGGAGTGTGTCCGAAATATTTTTGTGATGTCCAGTGTAGAATTAGGCTTGAATTGGCGAAAGTTAGTTTTTGGTGATTTCCGGTCGGCAGTGGAAAATAGGCTATCGGGGTCAGAATAGAATTCTGACAGTTGGAACATGTTAGTAATGTCATTTTGGATATGTCTGCAAAATTTCAGGTCAATCGGAGTTGTTTTGGATAGTTTCAGCGTCATTGGTGTAATTTAGGAATTTCAAAATTCATAGGCCTGAATTTGATATAATTTTGGTGTTTTGATGTTGTTTTTGGTGTTTCGAAGGCTCGGCTAAGTTCGAATGATGTTATGGGACGTGTTGGTATAACTTTTGAGATTTCCTATGGCCTGGGGTGGATCTCGAAAGGTTAACGGATTATTTTAGACTAGAAGAAAAGCTGCTGCATTTTTCACAGCAGCATGAACAGTAACTCAGATGAACAGTAACCCAAGTGAACAGTAAAACGCGTGAGCAGTATTTAAATAAACCCTCCGCGACCATTAAACCTAACATCATTTTTGAACGGGAAAAGAGCTTTGAGGCGATTTTGAAGAGAGGAAACCATTGTTCTTAATTGAGGTAAGGATTTTGGACCCTAAAACTCGATTATTTGTGATTAATGAACATCAGTGTTTAATTCATGAAAATCAGTAGAAAAATGTGGAGTAGTGCTTGAGATTATGAGACCTTCTAGGGATGATTTGACGGGTCAAACGAACTCCGATTTTTGAGTTCTTTATATGTACAGACTCGTGAGATTATGAAGAACATTTTGGTATAAAGTTTTTCCAGTTCTGGGATGCGGGCCCGGGGGCCGGGTATTGACTGATTTCGGATTTTGTGCTTAAAATCGATATTTTTCAATTGGAATTCATTCGTTTAGCATACTTTGATGATAAAAATCTGAACTTGGTAGATTTGGAGCACTCGGAAGTTGGTTCGAGAGGCAAGTGTGTTGCAGAGTAGCTTTCGGGCTAGTTCGAGGTGAGTAATGATTTTAAATATTGTTCTGAGGATATGAAACCTCGGATTATACAATGTTCGGCTGTGTTGAGGTGACACACACGCTAGATGACGAGCGCGAGGTCGTGCACCGTTGGGGATTGTGACTTAGTCCATCCCGAATGAATATTTTTCTGTATATTTGGTAGTTAATTGTTTGATATTATTATACTTTAGGCTAAATGTCATATTTGGGCTTCGTGCCAACCGTTTGAACTCTTAAGAGATCGTTAATGATATTTTCCTCACTATTTGATTTCATACTTGTGCTCAGTCATGCCAGATCTTTCAATGTTTTCAAAACTCAGCTATGTTAATCTGTTTTAGAAACCTTAAATGATGTTTTAAAGATATTTTGAGCTGAGTTGCATATTTTTACTATTGCCCGAAGGGTTTATGAGATTATGACTGAGTAAGGCCGAGGGCCTGTATTGTGAGGATACTTTTGGGTCGGTCTGCACGCCGCAACATTGATACACTAATTATGATAATGAGGCCGAGGGCCTGAGAGTGTACTCCACGAGGTGGCTTGATATTGATATGAGGCCGAAATCCTGTTTATGATGCCATGAGATGGCTTGATATTGCGCTTGGGTCGTAAGGGGACCCTCCAGGAGTCTACACACTCCCAGTGAGCGCGGGTACCCATTGTGACATGAGATATAGCCCGAGGGGCTGGTATTGTTCTGTGATATTTCCCGAGGGGCTGATTTGATGTTATTGTGCTCGAGGGGCAGTTCTTATGTGTTTACCATTCCTAGTTGTTTTTCCTATCTATTGTTGACTGCTTAAAAAGGTGTTTTTATGAGATTTCATTGTTAAATTGTGTTACTGATTTTGTTATTCCTCTGATAGCTAAATGTTGTGTTTAAGGTGATTTTATATTGTTCAGTCTTCATTTATTCTTATTACTTACTGAGTTGGAAGTACTCACTTTACTCCCTACACCTCTGTGTGCAGATTCGGGCGCTACAGGTTCTGCTACTGAGGGTTGACAGTTCCAGCAGATCTTTGGAGGTTTACTAGGTAGCTGCTTGGCGGTTCGCAGCCCAGTGCAACCTCCCTCTATCTTATTTCTTTTCTGATTCAGTTATTTAGTAGTAGAGTAGACTTTCAGATTGGTAGTATTGTTTTAGATGATCATGACCGGTGACATCCCGATGTCGGGCTGTGTTGGCTTTTATTTCCGCAAATTATACTATTAAATGCTTATTTTGGGATTTTATTTCTGATTAAAGACTTAGTAGTTATTATTTTTAGTTGCTTAAAGTGAATCGGAAGTGAGTCAGCTGGCCTTGTCTTCTCGAGAGGCGCCATCACGATCGAGTTGGGTTTAGGGTCGGGACAAGTTGGTATCAGAGCCTAAGTTACATAGGTCTCACGAGTCATGAGCAGGTTTAGTAGAGTCTCGCGAATCGGTACGGAGACGTCTATATTTATCCTCGAGGGGCTGCAGAACCTTTAGGAAAAGCTTCATATTCTTGAAATTCTTATCGTGCATCCTTGATTCAGCTTGAAATGTAACTCTTTGAATTCCTTCAATGCGTTCGTATGCGCACATGAGCGCTCAGTATCAGATATGCATCAATGGCTTGTGATTCCTCGATCAAGGGGCGAGATGTGATCTCTGTGTGTTGATGTTGGGCCAATCTGGAAGACTTGAGGCCGGATTTTTGCCTATAGCTCGAGCTCTGAGCTGTTGATTTTGTGAGCGTGTGCTTCTGGATCTATATGTTCTGTTGTGTCCCTATTAAGGGGAGTAATGATTGGTTAGCTACGTGATGAGTATGTTATGACTACGAGGTATATTCATATGATTTGGAAATGATGAGACGGGTCTGCTGGAGGATAGAAGAACTATTAGGTACTTGATTTTCATCTCGATTTGAGGTATAGCCCCGAGTTATGGGTGTATGAAGAATCTTTTCATGTGTTCTAGTTGGGAGTGAAGTAAATCATGTTACGGTATAAGTTCAGACTCAGGAATATTAAGTGACTCTGTAATGTTTATGACGGTGGAAGGTATACAGAAATGTTAGTTTGAGGCAAAACATGTGGGGTTATCTCCTGCGGAGTGTTCTGAAGTTGTGTGATCCTTATGTTGTCTGTTAGAAGATCTCATTTACAAGTAAATTATATGTGTTGAATTTAAATTTGGGTTGCTTAAGAGAGTGGGCTTGACTGTTACGAGGGTGAACGCGAGATTTGCAGAAGGTTTAAAGTACTAGATGGTCTATGTTTCACGAGCCATAAAGTATGGAGTTTAATCTCACTTTGGTACTATGGCAACAATAGAGTATATGCGTTATGAGTTATCGTGTGTGTTTTGATCTATGACTTCGAGCCAATTGGGGGAGTTTGCTATTGATTAGTTGACTGCACAATTGTGTGCTATGTTGGTACCAGTTGAGGCGTACGGGAGAATCAGTTATGGCCTACGGAGTTTGAGACTGAAGATGGCTCAAGTAAAGGAAAATTCTTGACAAAGGTTATAATATTCTTCATAGGTGTATGAGAATCATGGAATGTCTTGAGTTGTTGTTGGTAAAGGATGCTCGGTGCATAGAGCAGGAAGCTGCTTGGTTGTTTTAGGATGAGGTTACACTCTGCGGTGTCGGAGTGTTATTGAGGCACGTGTTGTTTGATTCGTTTGATCAGGCTAATTGTAGTTTGAGTAGAGTGAATGACTCTCGAGAATGGTTCTAATATGTCCAAGATTTTACATGTGATAATTGGATATTTTCAAGTTTTATATGTGGCTAGAAACCGAGTTTTCATTGGAAGATGTCAAGACTTGTGACATTTCTATATCAATTATGGGAGTCTATATATTAGTATCAAGAAGGTGAATGTAATGGCTTGGAATTTGTAGGAAGTCTCTTCAGGGTAGATATTTTGAACGTGGTGCTTTTGGGAATATTTAAGAAAGTATTCAGCGGCTTATGAGCCTTAGACGGTGTGACTTTATGCTGGGGTATCATGTGGTTAATCTGGATTGAGGAATTGTAATGTTATGGCAAGAAGGAGTATCAAGTTGAAGGCAAATCAGAAGGAAACTCGGATAGAGGGAATAGTTTGGTAGTAGGCCGAGTCGGTATGGTAAGGATATGATTAGTTCTTTGGATGCTTACGAGGTAATGAGTTTCTACAAGTATTTCGCGGCAATTCTTTTGGGTTTTAGTGATCTGCATAGCTCGGTTGAGATAGAAGGATTTAGTCCTGATGATTTATATTTGTGCAAATGGAATTCAGAGAGTTCTAGATGGTTTCCACCACAGTTAGAGAGGTATATTTTTCCTATTGGCATGGGGAGCATGGGA